ACTCAATAAAGATGAATACTTGATTCAAAAATACATATTTTATTAAACTTTCTGCTGAAAGATAAATAAAAAATCTTTCCGTCAACATTTTAAACCAAGGATAGCAGATCAGATAAAAGATAACCTTTTTTGCATTCTCAACTATGGGTATCGTTAAGGTTTTAACTGTACTACTACTTTTATCGATACCGCTTATCAATCTGGTCCTTTAACGGTACTCTTATTGGTTATTTTGAAAAAAAAGAATGTAAATGAACCAAACAAATTGTGAACAAAATTAACATTGCTTTTTATTTAAAGGTGACCTATCATGCAAAATGCACTTTTGTACATCTTTTATACATGAATACTGTATGTGTCCCCGGTGTTCCAGGGAACTCACCAAGTGTCAGAAAACACAACCCTTTTTATTTTCCTCCATACCCAAATCTCTAAAAAAAGGGGCTGCAACGGATCTGATACAGACTGATCCAGATTTGAACACTTCTATGACGTCACAGAAGTGGTGCTACGGCTATTGGGCCAACTCCACCAATCAGGAGGAGACAGCCACGAACATTGCCGTTCGAAAGCACTGGAGACGCTGTAGTACATATTTCAGGCCACCAGATGGTGCTGTTCTCACTGAATCCGAGCATGAAAGGCAGTGTTAAAATTGGCGAATAGGAATGGCTTAAAATGCATGATCTGTTTGGTATTTTGAAAATAAAAAGTATAGAATATGCCTTTATATACAGTGGACAAAACAGTAAATTTCGTCAGCCACCATTGTGCAATCTCCACTGTAAAAAGATGAGAGAGGCCTGTAGCATCAGTATACCGTCACTGAGAAAAATGAGAAAAAAAAAAGGCCAGAAAATCACATTGTCGATTTTTAAAGATTATTTGGCTAATTATGGAGCCACAACAATAAGTATTCTGGTCACCTACAAACAAACAAGATTCTGGCTCTCACAGACCGAACCTTCTTCTTTAAGTAGGCTCACTCTGTCTCCCTTGTACTGTATTTTTGAATGCGGGGACAACACCGTTTGAACTTGTTATCAGATAAAAAGACATCTGTCCACAACTCAACATCACACCTCCAAACTCACACTATGGCCAAGACCAAAAGGCTAGTCAAAGGAACACCAGAACAACAATTGGTAGACCCTGGCACGCGGCTGGGAGACTGAACTCTGCATAGGCTATAGGCAGCTTGGTGTGAGAATCAACTGTGGGAGCAATTA